GCACTGGCCGCCTACTTTTACTGAGCCAGACTGTCTGATCGAGCATAAAGAAATATAAGCGAAGTTAAAATAGGGAAGGGCAAATGCACCTTACGCTCAAAATCTGAACTTCAAATAATGGAAAGCAACCACTGAACGGATTTTTATACCCTCTGGTAGTACCAAGTGCGAGGAGGTACGGCGAGGAGGTAACGCCATCTATCGGCAAAATAATTGAATTAAGATAGTAGAATTAGAATTTTAAAGGCATTAGGAAGGACTGGATTGGACTTAAATCATTAACTAAACTTTCTAAATTTTGAATGTGAATGTGAAAAGCCTCAAGAAAATCCAATTCACCTATGGAAGAAGCCTTTTGGATGATTTTTGCAGACCCAAAATCAAAATTATGGTTAAAAGTCCAGCTATGATACGCTATTGAAGACTTGTTAATTTCGCCTTTTTTGACATAAGATTCATGTTCCTTGATACAAAACTTCAACGCTCTTTTTGTTTGGCCAATATATATCTTAAACCACACTGACATGATATACTATAAATTCCCCCAAGAATTCAAGACAGAAACGCAATCTTTTAGAATCGAAGGGTGAATTTTATTAATAGGGGAGAAACCGACTTGAAAATTGAATTTCTGGAGAATCCGTGCAATTTTATAGCTAACAGAAGGATAAAATGGAAGCACGACAAGGTCATTAATATTATTTCTAACAGTGGAATGTCTTCTTTGATGGGAATCTGAAAATTTTTTGACAGCTTTATCAATAATCACGGGAGAAAATCCACGGTCAATCGCAACTGCTCTCAAATAATTAAGTTCATTGGTAAGCAATGAACCAATGAATTATTTATTACTGGAATTTAAAGACTAGATTCGAAATGAGAGGAAAAAAAATGTTAGTCAACAATAAAATGAAGTATAAGCAAACCTGAGAGAGTATTAATAAATTAAGAACATGGCAGCTAGATGGAACGTTTGTTACTTGCAGAAAACGCCATTTTAAGATTGCCAACATTTCAGTATTATTGCCGTTTTAATGGTGTATATTTACTGGTCTCTCTGCAGAAGTGCTTCCTGTCGTTGATTCTAAGAGAACAAAGATAATGTCAAGCATTTTGGGTCACAAAATCCTTCTCAGAACTCTGTTGGTAAAGATTTTAAGGATCATTTATTGAATGTATAGACAATTTACTACAGTCAAAAGTTGTTAATTCGGACACCCATAATCCGGACCTCAACGCTACAAACTTTCTGCGCATGCAAACTGTCTGTTTGCGTCATGTTGACGCATGCGCGTAAGACCTTTACGGTTGCGAATATGTTTGTGCGCGTGCGCAAAATACGTTTACGAGTGCACGCATTTAACGGACGGTTTAAGCTAAGCTAAAATTATCTAATTGTTTATTTCAGTTAATGGTGCAGATTGCGTTGTTCCTTAATCTTCGAATTGGATCCGGCTTATTATTTTTTGCAAACTGTTAGAGGAGTTTTATAAAAGTAAGCTTAAACTTTCGATTATGTCAAATAGAATTTCTGATATATATTTACTAATTTGTAAAGGATTTACAAAGTGAAAGTATATTTCAAAGTTCATTAAACAAAAAGTGGAATTGCTGCAAAAAATGGATAAAGGCATATCCTTTGTTTATCTAAACTTAAATGTTTGTTTATCTACTTTTTAAACTTTGTTTACTACTTTTTAAACTTTACTTTTTACTTTGTTTATACTACTTTTTAAACTTTGTTTATCTTTAACGCCGCAGCGGGCACACTATCAATTGGAAGTTGATCTGTCAGCACTATCCTTATCTTCAGGGCAGATGTTTTTATTTTATTTGGCTTATAATTCCTTATTAAATGTAGTATTTCATCTCGATGTACTCCGTCTTTGATATGATTTAAATCAAGTTCCTCGTCATAATAATTCGCTTCCGATAGTGAAGAAAGTGACAGAGAGGTTATTGAAAACGAAAACATTTCGATTGACAAATTAGTCGGTATTCTCGACACAGCAATTATAGGACTTGAACAGCAGAACTTTGTAACTAAACAAGAAATTATGTCTGTTTAATAGAATTAAAGAGAAAGTATTATCACATAAAACGAAGCAACTTAAACAACTTAATTGAAAGAAATGTTTAATAAAGTAAACAAATAAATATTAAGCTTTTTCTTTCTGTAAATTTTGATCATAATTGTTCTTTATTTCATAAATTACGGTTTCATATTTTTAATTTTGTAATTTCTGCATGCCATCTTACCAGATTTAAACTGATGATCTATAATCCGGAAAAATCGATAATCCGGAATCACCGAAGTCCAGACGAGTCCGGATTAACGACTTTTGACTGTAAAATTCTTTTCATTTCAAGGGCCATTCTGTTAGTAGTTATCATATCCAGCACTTATTCATATGCATATTTCAGATTCTGATAATTGGAGGGTTAAGTGAAAAATCATTGTCTATATTAAAATGTATTTTTTCCCCTCATGCAAAGGTAATTTAGCTAGTCCTAAAAACTGGCACTTTATGTGCTGCCTATGGCTGGAGCTTGATTGATATCATATTTTTGAATCATAACCATAGAAAACTGCTGTAACTTATAGAGATGTATCATCAGCATTCTATTTAGGCAGGGCCAGATTTAGACTTGATAAGGCCCTAAGCTATTTGAGATATGGGGCCTTTGTAACTCCAGATATTATATGTCAGTGTCAAATATGATTTTCGGATACCTAGAGGGATTTTTGGGGGTCCCCAAGAAAGTGGAGTTATAGCTTGTATAGCTTATACGTAAATCCTGCGCTGTATTTAGGTGTTTATTTAGTAGAGCTGAAAACAAATGGTTGTTTATATTGTGGATAAAAAGTTGCAATCATATTAACACTAACTGAAAAAAAAAAATTCCCCCCCTTAAAAGTTTCATCTTGTGAGTGACATTATATAATTTTAATATGCAATGATAATACTATACAGTAGGATTTTCAAATTATGAATATTTTTTATTATTCAGAAATTTGGAAAAAGGAATTATAATGTATGAAATTTTTTTAATTCATCTTTATTTAATTTTAATGGATGAGTAGTAATAATGAAAATGAAAAGTAATGGCTAATAAACAGATAGCATTCTGAATGGTTTTTTTCATTATATTTAAAGTTTTTTTGGAATGTAAACAGTTTAATGAAGACAAATTTTATGTAGCTAAACATTGTAATTGAAATATAAATGTAATGAATACAATATTTATGTAACCACACCTTGCGGCAGAAACATAGTGTATGCTTTTATGTGCATGCCTATATTCTGAGTTTGTAAGTGGGATTGACATTAAAAATTCAATAAATTTTTCAGAAGTGAATGCAATAGTTAAGAGTGGTGTTAAAAATGAAAGTCCTCAGTGTGTCTTAATGTCACTTAAATACACTGAAGTGACAAAAGTCATGGGATACCTCCTAATATTTTGTCGGTCCTTCTTTTGCCCGGCGAAGTGCAGCAACTCGACAACACATGGACTCAACAAGTCGTTGGAAGTCCCCTGCAGGAATATTGAGCCATGCTGCCTCTATGGACGTCCATAATTGTGAAAATGTTGATGGTGCAGGGTTTTCGGCACGAACTGACCTCTTGATAATGTCCCATAAATGTTCAATGTGATTCATGTCGGGCGATCTAGGTGGCTAGATCATTCACTGGAATTGTCCAGAATGTTCTTCTAACCAATCGCGAACAATTGTGGCCCGGTGACATGGTGCATTGTCATCCATAAAAGTCCCATCGTTGTTTGAGTATGTGAAGTCCATGAATGGCTGTAAGTGATCTCCAAGTAGCTGAAGGTATCTATTTTCAGTCAATTATGAGTTCAGTTGCACCAGAGGACCGAGTCCATGCCATGTAAAAACAGCCCAGACCATTATGGAACCACCACCAGCTTGAACAGTGCCTTGTTGACAACTTGGTCCATGGCTTCGTGGGGTCTGCGCCACACTCGAACCCTACCATCAGCTCGTACCAACTGAAATCGTGACTCATCTAACCAAGTCACGGTTTTCCATTCGTTTAGGGACCAACCGATATGCTCACGAGAGTCGCTGCAGGCGATGTCGTGCTGTCAGTAAAGGCACTTGAGTCGGTCTTCTGCTGGCATAGCCCAAGGAAGACAAATTTCGTCGCACTGTCCTATCGCACACGTCCCACATTGATTTCTGCGGTTATGTGACGCAGTGTTGCTTGTCTGTGAACATTGACAACTCTACGCCAGTCGTTAAGTGCAGGTCGTCGGCCACTGCGCTGTCCATGGTGAGATGTTATGCCTGAAATTAGATACTCTCGGCACACTCTTGACACTGTGGATCTCGGAATGTTGAATTCCCTAACGATATCCGAAATGGAATGACCCATGCGTCTAGCTCCAACTACCATTCCGTGTTCAAAGACTGTTAATTCTCGTCTTGCGGCCATCACGTCAAAGCCTCTTCACATGAATAACTTGAACACAAATGAAATAAGCACTTTGCATTTATACATTTTCTACGCGATACTACTGCCATCTGTATATTTGCATATTGCTATCCAATGGCTTTTGTCACTTCAAAGTCTTTGTCACTTTTGTTCACTTTGTTGGTCTGGGCTGTTTTTGGTGTATTTTAGCTGAGAAATTTAACAAAATTAATAAAAAATTTTATGCATTTAAAAAAATGCTTCTAATCATTTTTTGTAAAACCATGTAATTATATTCTTTGCCACATGAGAAACGTTGCAAAGGTTTGAAGACTAAAATTTTCAATTTTATAGTGAAGTTGACCAATTTGTTATGAACGTATCTTAAAGTGCCATTTTAATTTTAAATAAGTGAATATTTTGTCAGATTGCGTACGAAAAAGCTTTGATATTGAAATTGTTATTGCTTTAGCCTATTCAGTTCCCCCATTTTATCTTTCATTTATAATGTTGAAAATGTTTTTGTTGTACTAATATTTCTCCTTCTCTTTTTTTTAATAGCTTCTTGAAAGGTATCCTAATGGCATGTATGCATCGAATTTCCCTTCATATTTTGAGGTAAGTTTTCATAATATTGATTATTCTGTTTAAAATGTTATGTTCATATGTTGGTTTCTCTGTGTCCGTTTATTCAAACCTAGTGTCAAGTTTAAAAATGACAATAATTCTTATAGTACATGAGAATAAATCATTTCTAGGAAACTGAAAGCAATTTTTTTCTCAACTGTCTGAATTAGCATTATTGCTGGAGTCATTGTTAAAATATGAGGAATCATCTTATAAGTTATGTATCATTGAAATTCTTCATAATAATTAGTTGTAAAAGTGTCTTTTGATTTTTAAGTTTATTGAAATGGTTAGTACAGTAAATTGTCATTAATGTACCTTCAACTTTCTCATTAACACAAGCTTTTTTTTTTTTTTTTTTTTTCCCTCTCTTTAAGGTGTATTGATATCCAGCATTTAAGATATTGTTTATGAAAAACAGTTTTAAAAGATGACATCTAATGAGGTTACTTATCTTAGTAAATATTAGGCTCATTGGAACTGGAAAAAAATAAAAATCACTATGAAGGAAAATCTTAATCTTCTATAGATTGCTGTGAATTCTGTATGCATGCAGATAACAAAACATGTAGGCAGATGAAACTTTGGGTCCAAGAATGAAATTTAACTCCTTAACTATCAAGTTATTTTAATGATTTGGGTACATAAATTGTCATTTTTTTATTGCAAAAATCAAATGTTTAGTACAAAATAAAAATATACTTAGTAGTTAAATATTGATATTTTGAATTACATGCATAAAACTTTTAAGGTTTTGTAGCCACTGCATATTCATTTAAGGCAGCTGCCACTAAGTGTGACAGTGGTAAAGTTCGCTGCTAGTGGAGCATTATTTTCTAAAAATAAAAAATAAAAAAAAAAAAAAAAAAAAAAAAAAAAAAATTATTATTTTCTAAAAAAATAAATAAAAAAAATTCAATACCTGTAATTAGTTCAGTATTTACGTTTTGTGTGGTATAACTGGAAACAATTTTCCAAGCACAAACTAACACTCTGTACACCAGAGTCATGTTTCCTTCCTTATCTTTTTAGCATTTTCATCCTTTTTTGAACAACAAACTTTGCACTGTCTTGTAGGCTCACGTTTCTCAAGAGTGAGTGAGTGAGTGAGTGATTATGGCGCAAAAACCAGAGATGATTATGACGTGCCAAATACAAGATGGGATGATTACAATTGATGACATTAAAATTGAATAAATAAAAACAAGTAGATAAATGTATCAAATCCAAAGGATGAAGTCATATAAAAACAAGTTAAAACCACACATTTAAAATTCAAGATACAATATTTAAAACAAATTACATTAGGTGATAAAAATTAGTTTCTTTCAAATAATAAAATAAATTACAATTGACCTCTCTTCCGATTAAACGGTCGAGAGGTAAGTCACAGCTATTAAAATATTTCTGGCGAAGACTATTAAAACATGGACACTCAATTAAAATATGACGAACAGATAAACAAACATTACAATTAAAACACACAGGCTCATTTTCAGCTTTGAGAAGATAGTTATGTGTGACTCTAGTGTGACCAATTCTGAGGCGAGTCAAAAGAACTTCCTCCTTACGATTTTTGGTTGATTCCCAATGCTCAATTCTAGGTTTTACATGTCTTAACTTGTTTTGAAGCTGAACATCCCAAATTTGCTGCCATTTTTTCCGGACTTTTCCCTTGATGACACAGCAGATATCTCTAAAAGGGATAAGGCGACTAGTCAGTTCAGCAACTCGTAAGGGCGATTGGCCAATAGTTCGATTGATTCCTTGGATCTTTCCCTGGCTTAGCAATAGCAATTACAACAGCTCTCCTCCATGCACTGGGAAAAATACGCTCCTTCCACACTCTATTGTAAAGAGTGAGGAGGGCAGTCAGTGACTTATAGGACAGATGTTTTAGCATTTCGTAATTCACGCCATCAAGACCCGGAGAAGACCTATGTGTCTGCAATAAAGCTCTCTTTAATTCCAGCATAGTAAATGCTCTATTGTAAGGCTCAGATTTGGAAGAGTTGAATGCGATGGGATTTATTTCAGAGTGCTGCTTGATAGAGAGAAATGCAGGTGAATAGTTTCTGCTGGAAGAAACGGCAGCAAATGTCTCACCAATAGTATTCGCAATTTCTTCTATGGAGCTAATCACTCGGCCATCTTTTTCCAAAAAGGAAAGTGAGTGGTCTTTATATATTCCGCATGCTTTTCGAACTCTTTCCCAAACCCGCTTACTAGGCGTAGAGGATGTAATTGATGACACATAGGAAATCCAAGAATTCCTTTGGCTCTGCCTCCTTACTTTTCGTGCGTTTGCTTTGGCTCTTTTAAATGCAATGAGGTTTCGCAGAGTAGGATATCTACGAAAAATACCCCATGCTTTTTTCTGTTTTTTCAGTGCTTCATGACAATCGCGATTCCACCACGGTTTCGAATATTTCAGTATTTTTCCTGATGTTCTAGGAATGGAAAGCATAGCTGCCTCAATAATAGTATTTGTAACAGCTTCAACAGCATCATCGATATGCGCATCTTCTACCATTTCATCTGTGAGCTCTGCAATGGAAGAGAAGAGTTCCCAGTCTGCCCTATCGAGTATGAATCGAGGGGATCTCGACATGGGGTTTGCTCCTCTTCGTGCAAGAGATATAAAAATGGGATAGTGATCGCTGTTGTAAAGATCATTTCCCACACTAAAAGTGCAAAATGGCAGCAGAGATGATGAACAGATGGCAAGGTCGAGAGCGTGGAATGTCCTTGAAGGCTCATGGAAGTAAGTATTCTGCCCATTATTCAAGAGACAAAGGCTATGATCTTCGATCATCTGCTCAATTTGTCTTCCACGGCAATTTGTATCTTTACTACCCCAGAGCGGACTATGGCCGTTAAAATCTCCTATTATTATGAAAGGCTCAGGCAGCTGCTCTAAAAGATCATTTAAATCTTTCTGATCAATGTGCTCATTTGGAGGCAAATACAAAGAAACAAATGAAACAACAATATCAAAATTTATTTGAGTAGCGACAACTTGGAGGGATGTCGTCAAAGAAAGAACATTTGAGGGATAATCCAGTGAGGAGAGGAGACCTACACCTCCACTGGCGCGTTCACCTGCAAAGTTATCCTTCCTGACGAAAGAAAACCTCCGAAGTTTTGCCTGTTGTTCTGGTTTTAGATTTGTTTCCTGTATTGCGAAGCATACAGGATGATACACATTAATTATAGATTTGATGTCTAGCAAATTTCGGTGGAAACCGCGACAGTTCCATGACACGAGGGTGGCCATTATGAATGGTTTTTGTTTTTCGTGGAAGTAGGTGCCTGGGAACTTCCAGACCCTCTTCCACTTCCATAAAGTCTGAATCCGCAGATTCAGAAATCATCTCATCAAGAGAGCTATTGCTGCGACTTCTATTTTTATTTGATGTTTTTTGTGTGGCAATTTTGGGCTTACTTTGAATAACTGTTTCTTTTTTTTGTACTATATGGGTTGCATTTTCTTTTTTCTTGTTGAATGTAGACGATTGGGTTTTATTTGGTAGGGTCTGTGTGCCTATTGAAGTTTGGGTGGCAACTGTACGAGATGATTTAACAGCACTGGCGTATGATGTATTTGGTCAAAAGTGTGTGCTCTGGACTAGTCTTCTGGCTTCGGCGTAAGAGATGTTCTTTGTAACTTTTGTAGTCTGGATTTCTTTTTCTGATTTCCACTTTGGGCACAAGCGAGAAAATGCTGGGTGGTCACCCTTGCAATTTATACACAAAGGCGCAGCGGTACAATTATCAGAATCGTGGCCAATCTGTGAGCATCGGGCGCATGTGAGGCTGCCACGACAAGACGTCTTAGAATGGCCGAAACGCTGGCATTGGAAACATCGCATAGGGTTTGGAATATAAGGTCTTACAGGAATATTTAGATATCCGGCCTTAATATTCTTAGGCAGATCAGGCGTGTTGAAGGTAAGGATCACGTGTTTCGTGTCTATCAACTTACCTTCTTTACGCATCTTGATCCGCCTTGCACCGCAGACATTTTGTTCGGATAGCTCAGAAGCGATCTCTTCTTCAGAAACATACAGAAGGTCGAATTCTGAAATTACACCCCGACAATAGTTGAGTGACTTATGTGGTGGTACAGTGACATTCGCTTGCCCAAGTTTAGTGATCTGAAGTAAAGAAGCAGACTGGGTGGCTGAGGTTGTATCAATAAGCAAGTCTCCGGAGCGGAGACGCTTTATATTTCTCGGCTCACCAATACAAGACTGGATGTATTTGTTTATTACGAAAGGAGACATCTTATGCATTTCGCCAGAAGGACTAGAGATGACTAGGAAACGGGGACTATTGTTATGATTTTTCTCATTTGTATCTGTACGTACTTTTTTTGCAGTAGACTTTTCAGAACTAGGTTGAGTGAGTGGTTTAGAAGTAGACGTTTCAGAAATAGGTTGAATGACTGGTTTAGCAGTAGATGTTTCAGAACTAGGTTGAGTGACTGGTTTAGCAGTAGACGTTTTAGAACTAGGTTGAGTGACTGGTTTAGCTGTAGACGTTTCAGAACTAGATTGAATGACTGGAGTGACTTGAGTGACTGGAGTTACCTCGAAATCTTTAATTAAGTAGATATGAGAAGAAGCCATAGTGAAAGAATAAAGATTCGGGTCCGACGGCCCCGCCCACCATGGAGTCCAACAAGGGAACACAGATTCCTGTGTTAGGGCTAGCCGGACCTATACACAAACTGAAGACCACAGTCGGCTTTCCCGAAAGCAGGTACTCCCGAGAGCTTGACCCCAAGCCACTGACACAAGGACTAGTGACCAGCCGATTGACACCCGTGAGGACGACTAAGGTGCCTCCCGTTTAGCTGAAGCAGAGGCCAAAATAGTGTGTTGGGGACAGTACCTCGCCCCTCAACTACCAGGACCCTCCTTTCCAGCGACACCGGTCTCCACGCACGGCAAACACGTGGGCAGTTTTCTCGCCACTCAAAGACTAGA